TGTGCGTGTCACCATGTGTGTGTCACCACACGCGTGTCACCCTGCGTGTCACCGTGCACGCGCACACCCCTCCGTGCTCTCAGCCCCACGCAGGCCATGCAGAGCTGCCCTTGCCCACCCAGCTGCACGCGCAGCAATGCATGCGCCCCACAGCGCTGCATTACTCGGGCACACAGCTGCCCGGGGCACACACCTGTGTCACCCAGGGCACACACCTGTGTCACCCACGCTCACCCGGAGCCTCGGGAACAGCCACCCCGCAGCTCTCCGTGCTCCCTCACCCGCTCGGGCTCGCCGGGCGCCTCCCGCAGCCCCGCGGAGCCGCATTAGCACCCGCGCGGCGCCGGGAGATAAATGGGAGCTGTCAGAGGCACCTTGTTTGCTGCTAACCTTTGGAAATGCCACGGCGCCCCGGGCGGAGCGTGCCGGGGGGAGCGGGCCCGCGGGGATTGTCGCTCACCACCTCCAATTAATCTCCCGGCGCTAACGAAGGCGTCCGGGTGACAGGGGAGAGGCTGGGTTGACCCCGCGCCCGTGGGGAGAGCAGGAGACCCCCGAGCAGTGGGGCAGGGGCCCTGCTGCCAGAGGACCCAAAAAGGTGTGGGGGCAGGATGGGAATGGGGACAGGGACAGGGATGGGAACATGCCAGAGTACCCAAAAAGGTGTGGGGACAGGATGGGAATGGGAATGGGGACAGGGATGGGAACAGGGATGGGGACAGGATGGGAATGGGGACAGGGACAGAGATGGGAACGGGGATGGGGACGGGGACAGGGATGGGAACAGGGATGGGGACAGGGATGGGAACAGGGATGGGGACAGGGATGGGAACAGGTGGCAGTAGGGATGGGGACAGAATGGGAACAGAGATGGGGACAGGGATGGGAATGGGGATGGGGACAGAATGGGAATAGGGACAGGATGGGAATGGGGATGGGGACAGGGATGGGAAAGGGGACGGGGACAGGATGGTGGCAATAATGGGAACAGGTGGTGGTAGGGACAGGGACAGGCTGACGGCATTAATGGGGACAGGATGGTAGTAACAATGGGGACAGGGTAGGGACAGGAACAGGCTGATGATGGTATTAAGGAGGAAAGGATGGTGGTAACAATGGGGACAGGATGGTGGTAGGGATGGGGACAGGATGGTGGTAGGGGTGGGGACAGGATGGTGGCAGGGACAGAAACAGCTGGTAGTATTAATGGGGACAGGGTGGTGGCAGGGACAGAGACAGGCTGGTGGTATTAATGGGGACAGGGTGGTGATATTAATGGGGACAGGGTGGTGGTAGGGATGGGGACAGGATGGTGGCAGGAACAGAGACAGGCTGGTGGTGGGCATGGAGACAGACTGGCCATGGGGACAGGCACAGGTTGGCTGTAGGAATGGAAGCAGGTTGGCAGTAGAGATGGGGACAAGCCTGGGACAGGGACAGGCTGCTGGTGGTGGAGATGAGGCCTTTGCTGGGGCTGTTGTGGTGCTCTGCTCCCCCCCAGTGCTGGCAGGGCTGTTCTGCCATCATTCCCAGCCCCTCTCTCGGGGTGCTGGAGCTCATCCCAGCCCACACCGGGGCAGCCAGGCCCCCCTGTCCCCCCCCCTGCTGCTCCCCTCCCCTCCACCAAGGTGACCGAGGGTCTCGGGGGAGCAGCTGACGGCGCTTGGCCCCAACAGCAAATGGGATGTGAGTGGCCATCACTGCCGGGCCTGACAAACCAAATTGATGCCGAAGGCACCGAGAGCCTTCCCGGTCCCTCTGCAGCTGCCTCCAGCCCTTCCCTCACTCCCGCCCGGCTCCGTGTGCTGACGGGGGGTGCCTGCGGACACACGGCAGCCCCACACGGCTACAGAAGGGCACGCGAGGGGCTGGAGAGCAGCTAAACCACGAAATAACGCTGTGGGGACCGTGATGGGGATGAGGATGAGGAGGGGAGCAGCGGGGATGTGCAGACCCAGCGGTGCATGTGACAGTGAAAAACAACCAGCTCGGGTAACCTGCGTGGCAGCAGAGCCCCTCACGCCACAGAGCCAGGCAGGGCCACGGGTTTTGGTGGGAGGGGGGCGGCACTGGGACCACCCCCCCGTGGACTGGCAACGCGTATCCAGGAGGTTCAGGAGCACGGGCGTGCGGCTGCACCCCGACGGCACAGCAGGAGCATTAATATTTAACGCGAGGTGTACGGGACCTGCCCTGAATGCCGACAGCGCTGCCAGGGCGCAGGGGGGTGACCTTGGCTCCCCTCGGCGCTGCCGTGGCCCAAGCCCCCCCCTGGCCCTGCTCATCCCCGCAGGCTCCGAGCCCCCCGGCCCGCCGGGGCTCCGCGGGGGCTGCGGGCAGCGAGGGTCCCCCCGCATTCCCGGTGCCGCAATCGATCGCCCTGGCTGCATCGCAGCCGCTGCCCTGCTCTGCAATTCCCTTTCATCCCCCGCTCCCCCCAGCAGCTCCTGCCGAGGGACTGGAGGGGTTGGGGGGATGCCAATTTGGCCCCTCGCCCGCAGGGGATGGGGCACCTCTGTTCCTGCAGGGATGGGGGGTGTTTGTTCTGTCCGTGCCCAGCCCCTGGCTCTGTCCCGCAGCCCTCAGGAGCACAGCGAGCGCTGCCAGTGTGTGCCACCCTCTGCTGCCACTGCCTGCCCGTCCCTGCCCCTTCCCTGTCCCCTCCCTGTCCCTCCAGCGATTCCCATCACAGCCTGTCCCAATGAAGAACATCACACCCCCCTCACCCCCGCAGGGAGAGGGGGGATTGGAAAGGGAAACTGAGGCAGCGGAGGAAGGGCACAGGCACCTGCGGCACTGCTGGGGACCGGCCTTGGCTCCCAGCCCTGGCTGAGATGGAAATTCAGCGCAGAGCTCAGAAACCTCCAGAAATCCTTCCCGGTGGTGGGTGGGGGGGCTCGGCAGGATGCGCTGCTGTGCGTGCTCCCCGTGGGCTGCAGCCCCCAGCCCCTCGCGGGGGGGCAGGAGGATTTGGGGGGCTCCCAGCTGAGGGGTCACAGTGGGGTGTGAGGGGTCCCAGGCCAGAGATGGAGCAGAGTTGGGGTGCAGACACCACCCCCCTGCCAAAACCGCAGCTCCCTCAGCTGGGGGGTGCCCCCCCCCCCCCCCCCCCCCCTCGTTATCTCGCCATCCCGGTCCTGCCCCCCCCTCTCCGGCTGGAGAAGGCGCCCGGCTTTGAAGCTGCGTTGAAATATAGATAAGGGCGAAGGCAGAGCTGGGAAAGAGCCGGGGGGAGCGGGGGGCTGGCCGGGCTGGGGGTGCAGGGATGGATGCTACAGCTCTGCACCACACTGTGCCCCCCCGATGGGCTGAAAGACCCCAGATCCCCTCCCCACGGATGTGGTAGGGCTGCATGCCCTGCCCAGGGTTCCTCTCTCTGGTGCAGCACAACCAGAGCAGATTTAGGGGCTCAGCCTAAATCGGGGCGGGGGGGTCCCAGGGATGGATCAGATCCCTGGCTCAGCAGAGGGTGTGGAGCTCCCTGGGCTCCCCCGTGGTGCTGCTCCATCTCTGCAGGGAAAACCCGCACTGAGACCCACCCAGCCATGGAGGAGGGGGCGTGGGGGGCTCACCCCTCTCTGATGGGGCTCACGGGACCCCCTTTCATTCCCGATGGGAACCATTCCCAAGCAGGAAACGGCATGGAGCCGTTCTGCAGGGTGAGCGATGCCAGGAGGAGCCCCCAGCAATGACAGGAGCCATTCCCTGAGCCTGCCTCAACTTCCCACCAGAGCACAGCCCCCCCACGCTCCCCCCAGCCCCTCCAGCTGCTGCCTCTGCTCACCGCCCCCTCCCCACTCCCCCTCCTCGTTCCTGCCGGGATTCAGGTCATCCAGAGCAGCCAAGCACCTGCTAGCTCAGGGCGACAGTGATTGACGAGGCCGGGGCTGCTGGAGCAGCTGGCAGGGCAGGAGGGCACAGCGGGCACCCCGGGAGCAGCAGGATGAGGGATGGGGGCACGGGGGCAGCTGGGCAGGGGGGTGAGGGACAGGCCTGGGGTCCCAGGTTAGGGCTGGCATCTGGCTCTGCTCGCTGGTGTCCATCCCAGCCACTGGGGGAACCTCGGGAAGGGGCTGGGGTGGTCCCGGCCCAGCTGGGGCAGGCACGAGGATGAGGAGGGAGGGGTAGGCAGAGGATGAGGAGGGTGCAGGCAGGAGGATGAGGAGGGAGGAGTAGGTATGGGGATGAGGAGGGTGCAGGAAGGAGGATGAGGAGGGAGGAATAGATATGGGGATGAGGAGGGTGCAGGAAGGAGGATGAGGAGAGGGCAGGTGAGAGGATGAGGAGGGGGCTGTAGGTAGGAGGATGAGGAGGGTGCATGCAGGAGGATGAGGAGGGTGTAGGCAGAGGGACGAGGAGGATTCAGGTATAAGGATGAGGAGGGAGCTGTAGATAGGAGGATGAGGAGGGTGCAGGAAAGAGGATGAGGAGGGTGCAGGAAAGAGGATGAGGAGGGTGCAGGCAGGAGGATGAGGAGGTTTCAGGCAGAGGGAGGAGGAGGATTCAGGTGGGAGGATGAGGAGGGGGCTGTAGGCAGGAGGATGAGGGTGCAGGAAAGAGGATGAGGAGGGTGCAGGAAAGAGGATGAGCAGGGTGCATGCAGGAGGATGAGGAGGGTGCAGGTAGAGGGATCAGGAGGGAGGAGTAGGTAGAGGATGAGGAGGGTGCAAGCAGAGGGAGGAGGAGGGTTCAGGCGGGATGATGAGGAGGGGGCTGTAGACAGGAGAATGAGGAGGGTGCAGGAAGGACGATGAGGAGGGTTCAGGTGAGAGGATGAGGAGGGAGCTGTAGACAGGAGGATGAGGAGGGGGCTGTAGACAGGAGGATGAAGAGGGGGCTGTAGACAGGAGGATGAGGAGGGGGCTGTAGACAGGAGGATGAGGAGGGGGCTGTAGGTAGGAGGATGAGGAGGGGGCTGTAGACAGGAGGATGAGGAGGGTGCGGCACGGGGCCGAGGAAGGGCGCAGGCGCAGCTCACGCACTCTGCCCTCCCTCCCCAGACGGTGTGCGCTGGCGGTCACATCTCCAAGACCTTGGGCTACCTGGAGATGGGCACCTCCGGCCTCCTCAAGGACGTCCCCTACGGCACCCTGAAGCCCCCGGTGCTCGACCCCGGGCGGCTGATCCCGGCAGAGCCCCCCCGGGGCGCGGGGACACCGGCGGGCACCGGCCGCAGCCCCTGGGACTGGCAGAAGAACCAGACGGCCGGGGAGCTGCTGAGCCCCCGCTCCCACCGCAAGCCCACCCTCAAATCCAGCCGCACCAAGAAGATTTTCGGTTGGGGAGACTTCTACTTCAACATCAAAACGCTCAAATTCAGCCTCCTGGTGACGGGCAAGATCGTCGACCACATCAACGGCACCTTCAGCGTCTACTTCCGACACAACTCCTCCAGCCTGGGCAACGTCTCCGTCAGCATCGTGCCTCCTTCCAAGGCGGTGGGCTTCGAGGTGCTGGTGCCCGGCCCCCCAGCACTGCCACGACCACCGCCCCCTCCCCAGCAGAGCACCCTGCCCGAGGGGCGCCCGGCCAAGGCGCTCAATTGCCACGTGGAGTACGAGAAGACGAACCGGGCGCGGAAGAACAAACCGTGCCTCTACGACCCGTCCAAGGTGTGCTTCACGGAGCACACGCAGAGCCACGCGGCCTGGCTCTGCGCCAAGCCCTTCAAGGTCATCTGCATCTTCATCTCCTTCCTCAGCATCGACTACAAGCTGGTGCAGAAGGTCTGTCCCGACTACAACTTCCAGCACGACAATCCCTACTTCGGCTGACGGCAGCGGGGAAGGGGGTGGGTGGGGGACGAGGGGGGGTTTTGGTGGCACTCGGGGTCCCCTGTCACCCCCACAGCAGTGTCCTCTTCATCGCTCTCTGCTGGGTTGTGGGATGGCCGGTGCTGGGGGTCCTGGAGCCCACCCAATGCCATCCCATCACTGGGATTGAGTTGGCTTGGGGAGTTGCAGGTTCCCCCCCCCG